GGGACGGTCGGAAATGATTGTCATGGTTATCGGTTGGGTGGGGATGGGCCGAGCCACTTTCTCTGGTTACTACCAAACCTTGGCGGAGTCCGGCTAGAGAGGCCGCTTAGAGCCACCGGCTAGCGCTGCCTCGGCGCGCCGGCGAGGCCGAAACAGGGGGAGGGGAGGGTCGAAATTGATGGCGCTTGACCGCGACGTTAATAACCAGACAAGCTAAACGCCCTAATAAATAACCTAAATATAGCAGCATATTTCAAAGACCTCGAAATCTATTAACTGGGCATCATGAGCCACCTGCGTTCGAATGAAGAATTAATCCTCTTCACATTTCGTTCATTCGGCTCAAGTACGACACGCTTTGCCCAAAATTGTAAAAATTGTACGAAAATGTTTAAAACCTTTTGAGGATTTACCATTGACGTGACAAATTCCTGATCATTCTTGCACAGGGTTTACCTATACGATCACTTGAATGCGCAACATCAGTCAGTTGCCCCATTGATAATTTTGCGGTCTTTGAGCGTTGTGTAAGGCTATCTATTGTGTAAAATGCCGCCCCTAGAACTCATTAGTTTTATCATTTATAGAAAAGCTTCTGTAGTTAATAGATAGTTGGTAAGTATCCATGAAAACGGTAATTGAAATGAGTGAAATCCATGAGCTTGAACGCACAACTCGCTACGTCTTGCGGGCCGGCAGGCATCGGTACACTGGCAGCATAGGCTGTCCCGCAACGCTCGGAGGCGATGCGGCACAGCATTCCACACAAACTTCAACGCCACACAAGTCTATATCGGGGTTCTTAAGCTTTTCTCAGCCTGGGATTTAAACAGCATCAAGCTTAGCAATACACAACATCTTACCAACAAAACCCAACATAAGACATCGCACCAAACCTTGCTGGTCACTCACTTATCATATATAGCTAAAAGGATCCTAACACCAGTCGTGTAAGTGAATGACAAACTCAACAGATGGTAAGTCTAATGCTCACTGATCCTATCGTTGAAGGAATTTGTAATGAATCATCGATCGGTGAGTAAAGTGTTTAGTCCAGACATTACTGACAATTACCCCCGTTACATAAGCAAGGTAAATGTGCATTACAAATGGGGTTAGGGCCTTTGCTCGATAAGTAGTGGTCATGCTCCTTCCCAATGGCCATCGGTCTGGAAGTCTGAGAAACCATTTAGAAATGGGTTGTGTGAGACTGCGGTCTATGGATGTTAAGCACTTAATACGCATAGTATTTTCCATTCAAAGCGTGCTACCGAAGAGACTCTTTTGATATTTGAAATCATTCACGTATGCCACGCAGGGGCGGATCCAGAAAATCTCCAAGGGAGGGGCCATTAGAAACCAGGAGGCCCCCATATGTTGGAGGCCCCATCTTCCCACTTGTTGGGCCCCCCCCCCCCAAAAAAAAACTGCGTCTATTGAGCTTATCTAGCTGTTCAGGCAACATCTCAACATGAATACCACTTTATTTTCAGGAGGCCCCCTTTTCAGCTTTTTAACTTTTTATTTTATTTTTGAAAAAAATCGGCCAAGGGGGGGGCCATGGCCCCCATGGCCCCCCCCTTGTATCCGCGCCTGATGCCACGGCACATGTCTGACCAAACCCACAGTCTTGACTCGTAAAGACAAATACTATAGATCTAGCTTGTGCCATTAAATTTGTTTCAGTTTGATGCTTCCAAACGTTTTCCAGAAAGATATAATCACCTTATCCGCGATTAAGCCTGGTGGTTCGTCTGGGAAGACCACGACGTAAGCCTCGAGGCTGAACTTCATCAGAAATGGCACAACCCAGGTCAGGAAAATTGCCTACCAGTGCCACTCGCACGGGAGTACTTCGTCGAGATCGAGCCCCAAAGGCCGAGTTCTCTGGGAGCTTCCGGCAGAGGTCACAAGATTGATGTCCAGGAAGACTGTTACATCAGGGAAACGCCGTGGTCTCCTTCGGGCCAGACAGCGCACTTTGAAGGCTCGCATGTCCGCCAGACAGCGCACTTCGGGCTCTCCACCTGCTATCGTTCTACTCATGGCATACATGTAATTGCCTTGTTTTGCATAATTGCATTAACCGCTGTTTTTCATGAGCCAGCTTAGTACGATATAAATCGATCAAAGCTTTTGCATCAATACGCAGCAACAATCTAACAGGCGAGCTTGGACAATGGATACTCTGAAATTCAAAACTTTAACCACTACCTACTATGTTATGACCAAATGGCTCGTCACCTCCCAAATATGACTATATATATATATATATATATATATATATATATATATATATATATATATATATATATATATATATTATTCTAAGCCACACTTCGGAGTCGATCGATCGTTGTGTATTCGTTAAAAAGCTAACAGTTTCGGATCATCTCGATCCCTTTTCAAAGCTATTATGAAAACACACAATGACAGCACGTTACACGAAATTCACGACACGATTATGCTCTTTTTGTTGACAGCGCACATGAAATAAATTCTCAGGAGCTTCTTTTGCAACATTTGGCCTTAACTATGCCCGCTATGACATTATTAAACGCGAAGTGTCCCTGTGACAAGTTGATATTTTTTGTGGTGCTTATCAGCGCTGATTCTACAATGCGACGTTTTAAGTAATCATCTGAAGAGTATAGTAATTTTGCTTCTTCGAAGTCCATTAAATGTTGATAATCTCTAACATGACAGAAGAGCGCGCTTTTCTCATTCGCTACCCTGATATCCCTTTTATGTTCATAAACCCTTTTCTCTAAACTCCTACCAGTTTCTCCCACGTAGCTGGTGTCCGGGCACACTTTGCAAGGAATGCTATACACCCCAACCTTGTTTTCATTGTTCGGCTTGTTTTTAATGAGAGTCTTGGAAATAGTGTTTGGGTAAGTGAAAGCAACTCCCACCCCTTCCTCACTGCACACCCTTTTAAAACCCTTTAAGCCCTCGTTATACGGCAAAACCAAGCATTTCTTAGGTTTCTCCCTCTTGTTCCTATTGGTAGTGAAAAAGGTACGCCTTGCCGACATATGAGCGTCATGAATAAACCACTCAGGGTATCGAAGGTCTGTGAAAATTCTGTAGATCTCAGACACCTCGTTCTGGAGATTGTCTTTGTCGCAAATTCTATACCCTCTAAGAAATAGTCCCAGTATCACGCCTTTTTTGGTGCACTTATCGTGGAAGGAAAAGTAATGAATGTACGCGTTGGAGTTTGTCGGTTTTCTATAAATCGAAAACCTGAGTTTTGACGAGTCCCTCGTAATCAGAATGTCCAAGAATGGTAGCGTGCAATCTTTTTCCCACTCAACCTTGAAGGTGATGGAGGGGTGAAGGTCATTAAGACGGCTGAAGAATGTGTCAAAATCGCTACCTGCTGGCCAGACGGCGAACACATCGTCTACGTACCTTAGCCAGATCAGATTGGGGGGTGCTATGTCCTTAAGTAGTTTCTTTTCGAAGTACTCCATAAAAAGGTTAGCTAAGATCGGAGAGAGGGGATTCCCCATAGCCAGCCCTGCCTTTTGCCTATAAAACCTATCGTTGACGACAAACACATTGTCTTCAAGAACTAGCTTGACTAGCTCAACAAACTTCTTGTTGGTTATCGGTAAGTTTAAGCCTAGCCCAGGCAGAACTGCTGGCTACTCGCCGTCTGGCCAGCAGGTAGCGATTTTGACACATTCTTCAGCCGTCTTAATGACCTTCACCCCTCCATCACCTTCAAGGTTGAGTGGGAAAAAGATTGCACGCTACCATTCTTGGACATTCTGATTACGAGGGACTCGTCAAAACTCAGGTTTTCGATTTATAGAAAACCGACAAACTCCAACGCGTACATTCATTACTTTTCCTTCCACGATAAGTGCACCAAAAAAGGCGTGATACTGGGACTATTTCTTAGAGGGTATAGAATTTGCGACAAAGACAATCTCCAGAACGAGGTGTCTGAGATCTACAGAATTTTCACAGACCTTCGATACCCTGAGTGGTTTATTCATGACGCTCATATGTCGGCAAGGCGTACCTTTTTCACTACCAATAGGAACAAGAGGGAGAAACCTAAGAAATGCTTGGTTTTGCCGTATAACGAGGGCTTAAAGGGTTTTAAAAGGGTGTGCAGTGAGGAAGGGGTGGGAGTTGCTTTCACTTACCCAAACACTATTTCCAAGACTCTCATTAAAAACAAGCCGAACAATGAAAACAAGGTTGGGGTGTATAGCATTCCTTGCAAAGTGTGCCCGGACACCAGCTACGTGGGAGAAACTGGTAGGAGTTTAGAGAAAAGGGTTTATGAACATAAAAGGGATATCAGGGTAGCGAATGAGAAAAGCGCGCTCTTCTGTCATGTTAGAGATTATCAACATTTAATGGACTTCGAAGAAGCAAAATTACTATACTCTTCAGATGATTACTTAAAACGTCGCATTGTAGAATCAGCGCTGATAAGCACCACAAAAAATATCAACTTGTCACAGGGACACTTCGCGTTTAATAATGTCATAGCGGGCATAGTTAAGGCCAAATGTTGCAAAAGAAGCTCCTGAGAATTTATTTCATGTGCGCTGTCAACAAAAAGAGCATAATCGTGTCGTGAATTTCGTGTAACGTGCTGTCATTGTGTGTTTTCATAATAGCTTTGAAAAGGGATCGAGATGATCCGAAACTGTTAGCTTTTTAACGAATACACAACGATCGATCGACTCCGAAGTGTGGCTTAGAATAATTATTAATGCGAATCTAGTGCATTTTCTTTAAATATATATATATATATATATATATATATATATATATATATATATATATATATATATATACATATATATATATATATATATATATATATATATATATATATATATATATATATATATATATATATATATATATATATATATATATTGAAACATTTCTTGAAAATAAGCGTATGGTATGCACTTTTTATGTTTATGAGATTATCGTGTTTTATTAAATCTGATTGCCGTTCGCAGTTCAGAATATGTGCGGAGCGTTCGGCGATGATGGAAGAAGAACAAAAATCTCTTTTTGTGATATACTACCATGAGAAGTGGTTCGAATGTTTACGGCAAGATTATCATCGCCCTATAATGACATGAAGTGAAGTAAAAACGATCCGCTTTATTTCGCATACGGTATCGTTGCACCTAACTCATTTCAAATTTGCAAGTGGTTCCGTGTTTGGCTGACTGCTACATCAAACTTTTCGAGAAATATTGTTGACATCGTGCTGCTCAGATGACTTTGCTGCGTTTAATACGCTGCAAATATGCCTTTTCGACTATGCTCAACTCATCGAGGAACCCTTGAGGTCTTCAATAGCGCCGTTTGAGCCTCGGACTCGATTTTGTGTGGTGAGGACGGCTGCGGGGCCGGCGCCGACCGCCCGGCTGTCGCGTCCGGTAACAAGTGTGTAAGTGGCGACCACCACTATCGACTGGCTGTGGGGCGCGCGCGCGCGCCGCCGCCGCCGCGTGGGTGGCGGGCCGGCCCTCTCTGGTGGAGGTCGGCGGCGGCGGCGCCCGTCGGCTCGCCAGTTCTCGCCCCGGCCATGCGTCAGAGCGCAGCGTCCGGCCGGCGCTAGTGACCGCCCGCGAGCGCCGCCAGTCACGCCGCCGGCCGCTCCGCAGACCATGTTGTCGCGCCGGGCGCTGGCCGCCGCTGGCCTGTGTCTGCTGCTCTGCTGGCTGGCGGCTGTGGCCGCTCAGCAGCCGCGGCGCCGGACGTCGCTGCTCCAGCTGCTCACGGCCGGCCGGCATAGCTCAGAGAAGCGCTCGTTCGAGAGGCGGTTGGCGGCGCCCGCTCACCAGACGTGGCGGCAGCGGCCACCGCCGGCTGCCGGCGCCGTGCCCGCCAGACAGCAGGCCTTTGTGCGCACCAGTCGAGCCAGCAGCCGGCCGCAGGAGTATGACGTCCCCATCATTGGTGAGTATTTTAACCGCGGGACAGCCCTCCCCCTGTCCTCACTCCTGATTTATCTTGAGGGCCAGCCCTCCCCTGTGCTCGCTCCTGATTTATCTTGAGGGCCAGCCCTCCCCTGTCCTCGCTCCTGATTTATCTTGCCACATGGTCACGCTCCGAGTGCGTGCATTCTAGCCACCGTTCAGTCGATAACATTCTGCTCACTGAAACTATAATCTGCTCGGCAGCTGGCCCTCGCTCTCGCGACGGCTGTCGAAAATAGCCGGCGCCGACGGCCTCGCGTTAAAATTTTATTAGTAGTCCGAACCGTATCCTGATCGACTGATTTATTTCCAGCGTGGAAGCGCACTGACAAGGCGGCCACAGTTCGTCTTAGAGATAACATATTTCATCATGAAACTATAAGCGTGCCATTGATATTTTGCTTTGACTTGGACGAACGAAACATAAAAAATCGATCAATAAGTGTATCTAACGTCAGTGGGAATTTTTAAGTATTACAAGACACACATAGCACCGTGCAAACGATGAAAAAATATGACATGAGCTGCGACAAATAATGATAAAAACCACTGGCTTAATAATGCCGTGGCATCGGTGACTAATGGTTTTCAAGGTTATTTAAATGGGTGTAAAAGAACATTTAAAGAACGGATGACTTCATTCACTTAAATGAAAAATGTTATGAAAAGCTCATGCCTGAATTGTGGTCACGTCATTGCGCATTATGTACGCCTCAAACCGTAAACAGAAACCGGATCATTCTCCAAATAGAACACGATATCGTTTGTAGACGTCATCAGTCATAGAGTCGCAGTCAGTGGAGATGTTTTTGTTTATGGGTGCAGACTTAAAGACTATAAAATAAATTATCAAAGATGAAGCCAAATATGACAGCCAAATAGTAAAATATGACAGCCCTTGGCCGAAACACTTGCAGTCGGTAGCGATTGGCTAAAGTTGACTTTCAACACTAGGATCTTACTTCTTAGTTCTTACTACCACTAGACTCATTTTGAAATATACTCATTTTATATAAGGCACTAATTTGGCCTTTAAAAGTTGACTTTCAACACTAGGATCTTACTTCTTACTACCACTAGACTCATTTTGAAATACTCATTTTATATAAGGCACTAATTTGGTCCGATGAAATTACTCCTCCTCGCCCGAAAATGGTGAATTACGTAATCGTGTGTATCCTATTGTCACAATTTTATGATGATGAGATGTTTACGCTGCACCGGCTTACGATCATTCAATGTTTAAAACCTCTATTACTAAGTATAGGTCTGGTAATAACCGCCAGGCCTTGACCGCGCATATGTTCCCTTGACATTAAATAGAATTGGTACGGGCGCTGTTGTTTCAGAATAATTGATACTTTCTGGCCGACTCGTTTTCCTGACAGTGCGTACACTGCTGGTCAGCGCTGAAATATGTACTTTTCGCACCGACGTAGCTCAGAATAGGACATAGGTTTGTCACGCGATGCCAGTTTGGGCGGCGATGTGTGGGAGGCTGTGAGACAGATAGGCAGGCTGTGAGACAGATAGGCAGGCATAATTCAGCTCACAAACTTCCTACCGAGTGTCCGAACAAGGCCATTAAAGTTGGCTGTTGGGCTTACAGTGTCGCGCCGATCCCCTTTTGGACTGGGTTATGGGTCATTTTCGGCCGAAGCACGCTATATGACAGGCATCACCTGGAATCTAGTGGATGGCCGTCGATTGGAGTGGCGCCTTCAGGTGGCAGCTGTTGCTCTTTTGAACACTTTGGTTTTATATTTATTTTAGCAAAATAAATAAATAATATGGCTAATTATGTCGAGTCTGATTGCCAAAATGGAACAAAATGTTGCCTATTCATTGAACGGCTAGCCTGAACTAGCCATGCCTTAATATTGTTTATTCTGCCAATGAGCATACTCATCTTGCTTCTGTGTAACGTAAAATTCAACCGACTCAAAGACGCATCAAGGCTGGTGGAAATGTCAAATCATGATGACTGAGCAACCAGCCTTGCGGTTGTCACAACAGATGAATGAATCAATAAATAATTGCATTGGGAATATCATCGACACCAAACTTGCAGTCTACGCAAGCACAATTTCTATATTCCTGCTCCCGAAAGTGGGGCAAGTTTCTTGATGCTTCGTGCAATTGCAAAGCACAACGCCCAATGTCTGACGCCGGAACAGATACTAGGGCACTAGACAAACGGTCTGAAGTCTCAACATTAAACATATATTTAAAAGAGTGTCCGCTGAGAATGTAGCGGTCGGGTCGGTTTGGAAAATGTATCCGTCGACCAGCGGCGTCGCTCGTCAGTCAGAGCTGATCTGAAACCGTCCAAAGGTCAGGTACCAGTGGTGACAGGTGGCCGCTCGCCGGGAAGGAGCGCAAAATACGGACATGTCCCAGCCACCTGAAGTTGGCTCGCAGTGCCGATTCATGAAGCCGCTGTCGACGATATTTTCCGCCCCGGCTGGCCTCGGAGGGGCAACAACTAGGGTCGTAATAACCTGCCCAAAGTGTATGTACTCCATTGTTTATGCTTAGCACACCTAGTACATGCTGTTGTTGAAAAGGTTAAAAGATTTTGCTTTAACAAATCAAATTAATTACCACAGTTATTATAAAAGATACTTTGAAAAAACATGCCATAAAAAGATGAAATGAGGCTTACTTACATCAATTCACAAACAGCTTTGGGGGCTGCTAGCATCAATATCCTAATATGGCATAAAATGTTGCGCTATTTTTATGTGTTAAATGAACACAAAGTAAATGAATGATGTATAATCTGCCCGCATACAGCACCCCTCGAGCCAATACGTCATAAGCGGCATCTTGGTCGAATGCGCCATAAAACGCGTCGTCGACTAAACGGTCTGGTTTATGGGCTCGTTTGCTGTCACCCATGTGAGTGCGGGTGCAAAGTATACGATCGCATGTAGATACACTGCGTCACGTGGTCCGCGCCCGATTACCCCGCCCGAGGGCCCCCACATTAGTCATCCCACAATGCCGGCTTGCGTGTTCTAATTTGCTGACGCCGGGTAGCAGGTGACGTCAAATGAGGCACCGCTTGCGTCACCGCTGAGAGGCCGACGCGGCAAAGAGCTCTCCGCTATAGTAAGGCTGCACAACGTTCAGCTCTCTGAAACTTTGGCTGTGTCGCTTCAGACCAATTACGTCATCAATTTCACAGGCCGTACGAGACGGGGCAGTAACGCCGCGGGTCGAGTCGCCAAACCCGCGCCGGCAAACGGCTTATTGTGTTCAAGAGTCGTATCAACTGACACAGGCTGCTCACTGCTGAAACGAGCGACAAACTCAAATGCATTAAATGGATACCAAGTGGTTTAAGCGTTCATTTTTAGCAGGGCCGAGTTCTCAAGTGTGTAATTTTAGTCATCACTAGCAAATGAATTTCAAAGTTTTGAAAGTTTTACTGATACACTTGATGAATGCAACTTGATCTAAGTGCCTTGCTACGCCCAGCACGATTCATCGTTTCGAGAAGTTTTTGTAAGCTGCGCCTAAAAGTTAGGTTTATGAAAGCAGTCATATTTTCACATTAAGCTCATTTCCCTGTCCTGCATCCACCTCTCTAGCTGTGCAGCTAAGGAAACACTGCAACTGCATTTGAGTAACGACGCTTTGGTGGTATTTACAATTTATTTTAATTTCCCGTAATCAACTAAAAACATTTAATCTCCAGATAAATCGAATTCCTAAATAAGTTTAAAATGGCCGATGCCTTCCAGAAGCTGTGAGTCGGGTTTTTAATATCCATGGCGTTTGCCTGCACTGCGGAATGCATAGGGGCTGAATGCTAGGCGGGTTTTGGGAACTGGGCTCATGCTATATGTGGCTACTTAGCCGATTGGAGTCCGCTCAGCGAGCAGCGAAGCGGCGCCTCGGCGGATTTCCCAAACCGTCTGACTGGTTCACAGACCTGTCCATGGGTGTGGGTCGGTTTACGCTCCCCTGAACAGGAAACTTACCGCCCCGCTTCTGACATATTGCGCCTGAATCATTAAGAGGGTGCGTATTTCAATATATGATGTTAGAAATGAAAGAAAATAATTATAAATGCTGGACGTCTGTAGGATGTAAGATGAAGTACGAAAAACATCGTAGCTCTTGTCTTCCGTCTGTCGTTGGCCGCGAAAGAAGTCTGGTGGGGAGGGGGAGGGGGTATGTCAGTCCAAGAACAAGACACAAGCCTTGTGCTGTGCATACCTGATATCTCGCCCACATCTGCCTTCTGCTCGGGGCGGTCTTATATGACGACTACGCTGATCAAGAAGAGCCGTCGCGGAAACTCCCCCGTGATCGGCCCGACCCTCTGCTGTGTGGGTGATCCCAGAATAGACGCAGAGACTCGTCTAAAAAAGACATTCGTCTCAGCGCTGATCGTCCGTTCATCCCCTCCGGCCCTGGGGCCCCAGTCCCTACCCCCGGGCGGTCGGTATAGTCGGATCGGGCAGCCAATCGTACCACTCAGAGCCCTGCCCACGACAGCTGAAGGTTTTTTGCTCACCAGGCAATCGTTGATCATACAAAAACCCACGCAGCGTAGATAGTAAGTAGACGTATTTATTGATTGCTTTTACGGGGGGGGGGGGGAGGGAGCAACAAAGGTAGACCTCCTATAGACCGCTGATTTAAAGAATGTAACGAGAAGGAAATGCTAAGGTTGCGAAAAGCATAGAATTTAATTCAGAACCACAGTGACATTTGCAACATGGTAGGTCCCAACTCCTTTCACACATTATTTCCGTGGATAATGCATCAGAGGCAATACGAGAGGCAGTGCAGGTTATTTGACCCTCGAACTGATAGGCTGGGGGTGCGGGGTCATAAAGACATCTCAATTTTTCCCGAAAATCTCTTGGAAAAAGCGCCGAATCGCCACAAAACTTTTAGTACCCTGGAATGAATCAATTCTACAGCTACCCCCCAAATACCATGATCCTGCTTCAAAAGACCTGT